GTCGCCCTTCTCTGGTTAAGGGCTTGCAGGCCAAGCCCTACGAGGAGAGACTAGAGAACCTCTCTAGTGTGATAATTACTTTGCATGTGTGGTTGGTCAAAATTTACTGTGCAATGCATTAGCTAATCGTGTGGTAATTATTGTGCACTGGTGGCTGGGGTCACTTTGCAGCAAGCCCTACGAGGAGAGACTAGAGAACCTCTCTAGTGTGATAATTACTTTGCATGTGTGGTTGGTCAAAATTTACTGTGCAATGCATTAGCTAATCGTGTGGTAATTATTGTGCACTGGTGGCTGGTGTCACTTTGCATGTGTGGTCAGTCTAAATTTATTGTGCGATTCACCCGTTAATTGCATAATGCATACAACATGTAGCAGGGGCCTTAGAGATGGCCTAGACTCCAGGCCCTAGAGATACCGTTAAGCATTTCCAGGTGGGAAGAAGTGGAGAACACAAGCACGCTTGAGCTAGTTATTCTTGCATAACTGTACATTGTTTGGTCTTGTCTTAATTTGGTCAAAGCCTCCAATCCCACAAGGTACAGAGCATCTCCCAAACTAACAGCAAAGACCCACAAACAGGACTTAAGGCCTTTACAGGTTCACCCTTAGACCACTTGGAAAGGGAACAGCGGAGAAGAGATTCCCACTGGCCAACAATGGAGCCGCGATTTGCACCAGCAGCACTTGACCCAAGATAAGGACAACCTTTAGCCAGTCAGATCGCAGGCCCGCCTTGCCCAGGGCCCTGTCATGCAGTCCCACCTCCCTACACCTTTTCATTTACACACTTCTCATCTGTGGCCCACCAGGTGCTCAACTTCCTCCTGGCCCTAGCCAAGCTTGCAACCTATCTGACCAGGAAGGCGGCTCTGGAAAGGGACAGCCAGCAGAGTCTGCCCAAGGGTTTTTCTGCACGGCCCCTCTCCCACATCCATCCAGGGTGCCCCTCCCCCCTTTCCTCCCAAGTCCATCTGGGCACAGAAGACAGGCGAGCGCCCCTGCACCTGTCCCTGGCTGGGTGGGCTCCCACAGCCCCCCACTACCCAGTGTGCGGCTGAGGACGAAGCCCCCCATGCCCACGGCAGGGGAGCGGGACCCCCAGCGCCGCCTTCCCGAGCCAACGGCCGCGCTCTAACGGTCCCCAACGGCCGCCCCTTGCCGCGCCGCGCCCCTCCCCCGCGGCGAGACAGGGGCACTCACAGCGCGCGGACCCGCCTCCTGCTCCGGCCGGGGGAGGAGCGGAACTGACGGCAACGGCGCGGCACCACCTGGCCGCCACGGCGCATGCGCCAGCCGCTTCCGCCCGCCGCGCCCCTGCCTGAATGAACGCGCAGGGGGACGCCGCGGGTTGGTTGCCTGGCGCTAGGCGGCAGAGGAGCGGATTGGCTGGGACCCGAAGGATGTCTGGGGGAAGGCTATTGGCTCATCGGGAGCTGGGCCAAAAGTAGGGATCGTGCCATTGGCGGGTAGTTGCCGGAGGTGCCTGCAGCCTGGCCAGGGCGCGGACTGTTGCACGTGGGGAGCCCGCGGTGGCGCTGCCCTGGTCTCTCTGAGGTCTTCGCAACGGAAACCTGCCTCTTGTTTTTCCGTAGTGCAAAAACCAACCAAAAAAGGAGGAGCTGGGATTTTCTGAGGGTGCCTGGGGAGTAAGGAGCTGGAGTGCAGGGGTTCAAGCACCGGGGACAGAGCCGTGCAAGGGGGTCACTGTGTGGGCAGGGTCGGGTGGCACCGGAGAGACTCGTTCGCTTTCCTAGGTGACGGCCTACTCAGTCGGATGCTGCTCACCGAAGTCTGTTCTGAGTAGCTTCGAGCAAGTTAGTCTTTAAGGTGCCACCCCGCCCTGGGTCCAGACAGAACTACCTTTCTCCACTCATAAGAAGCAATTCATCCTTTGCAGACAGGTCAGCTGCAGGGTGATTTGTTATAAAGCAGCTGGTTTGGGTTGGAAGGAATGAGGCTGCTTGACTAGAATAGTTAAAAGAAAGGTACAAATAGCAAGGGCTGCTTAAATCAGCGACCCCAGTAGCTAATATCATAGGGTCCATTGCCTGGCTCAAATACCCAAAGCACTGGGGTTACATTTAACGTCTTTAGAAGATTTCTGTGGTCTTATAAAAATCCCTGTTAGGGAATTACTGTTGATATTCAGCCTAAATTTTTTCTTCCTTCATTTCTTTCCATTATGCGTTGGTCTGAAGAAAATGTCTTTTCAATTGGCTCGTGTGGTGACAACTTACCGTATTAAATTGAACAAATTTGCTGCTGTTGAATGAGTTACGCACCGACCTAAAAGAGATTTGGACCACATTTTTTAAGTTATTTAGTCAGTCCCAGCGGGTGCCTGTATACACTATACTAGGTTTGTGTGCATAGCTTAGAACAATGGTTCTCAAACTTTTTGGACTTGACACACCTCTCCATAACTTTTGTGAATTGAGCAGCACTCAGTTTAAAAGCTAATTTATACATTACCAGAGAGGCTGAGAAGTGCGGGTGGCGGACTGGCCAGGCTGGGACAAGCTATCCTGGTTGAGAATTACTGGCCTAGAGACTGAAGACAGGCTATGTGCTTAGCCCACATAGTGCTTACCTGACCTTAAGATAAGCAATCCTCATTAAGTACAGTGTGTTGGTGCTGTGATATTAGCAGCCCTGGAACTGATTAGTTTCTCCTTTTTCAGGGCTTCCAATTTTGTTTGGGAGCTGCTATGACAAGCCTTGAAAATAGGAGGAACTGCTCAGTTTCAGGCCCTCTAACAGCACAGTAAGTACCTTACCTATCCTCAGTGCTGCAGTACTAACAGCTCTGAAACGGACTCACTAACCCCTGTCAGCTTCAAGGCTTGTCATAGTACTCCTTAGGCTAAGAACAGATGTCAGATTTCTCCTAGACAACGCCTTTTATTCCGGGATCCTACAGACATATGAGCTTGCTGTCAAACTTTAACTTCTGTTTTTACCCTTGACTCTTTGTGGTACAGTTAACCCTGTGAAATATCCAAGATAATTCTTCTTAATTTACACTATTAATTATTTTACTCTGATAGTGTTAGAGTGATGTTGTAGCTCAGCGTTGTCCTTTATTGGACTAACTGCATGGCTGGGATAGCCTTGGACAAGGCTAAGAATACACTGCGTTCGTCTTTAGGTTACTGTGACAGTAATGCCAACTGCTGCCACAAGATGTCATGACAAGGTAAGGCTCAAGGAACCATACATAGAGTTAAACAGTAAAAACAATGCACATAGCATCATGGTGAATGATTGTTCACACCAAATGTTTTACACAAAACAAACACCACATCCTTATTATAGAACGGATAACTATTCAACATCTTTAACAGCGACTTGGAGGTGGGCGTGGACAGCATGCTGTCCAAATTCACTGATGACACAAAGATGTGGGGAGAAGTGGGCACGCTGGAGGGGAGGGACAGAATCCAGCTAGATCTAGACAGGTTACAAAGGTGGTCAGATGAGAATAGAATGGAATTCAACATAGACAAGCGCAAGGTGCTGCATCTAGGGAGAAGGAACCTGCAACATACCTATAGGCTGAGGAACACCCTTCTCAACAACACAGTGGCTGGAAGGGATCTTGGAGTCATTGCTGATTCCAGAATCAACATGAGCCGCCACTGCGAGGAAGTGGTCAGTAAAGCTAACTGCACCAATGAAAACTGCACCATTGTTCCTCTTCCAAGTATGATTACATAAGTAGATGCATCACAAGCAGGTCCAGGGAGGTGATCCTTCCCCTCTGTGCAGCACTGGTCAGGCCGCAGTTGGAGTACTGCATCCAGTTCTGGGCACCACACTTCAAGAGGGATGTGGCCAGCATTGAGAGGGTCCAGAGGAGGGCCACTTACATGGTCAGGGGGTAGCAGGGGGTAGCAGGCCAGGACCTATGAAGATAGACTAAAGGGCCTGACCTGTGAAGTTAGACTAAAGGGCCTGAATGTATTCAGCCTCTACAAGAGAAGACTGAGAGGGGATCTGGTGTCTGTCTATAAACTCACCAGGGGGGACCAGTGGAAAATAGGTGAGCCTCTGTTCCCCCCAGGCACCACCTGGAACTATGAAACAGGGGTTCCTAAACTGTAGTATGTGTAACTCTGGCAAGACATCTCTGGGGAGTACTCAGGAGAAATTGTATAATGGCAGATTTAATTTTTATTTTAATAATTGACATTTAAGGGGTTAAAATATAAAATGTATGTGGTAAGGGTACGTGGGCCGCTGGTAAATCTGGAAAGGGGTATAAAATAAGAAAAAGATTGGGGAACCTCTGCCCTAGAAAAGTTAGTCTCATGGGACTGGTTGTGCATGATTACTAATTGTATAGGAGACTTCCTATTCCATTGTATAGGAGACTACAATGTTGCTGGAGCTATACTAATGACTCAGATAGTCACTTGGCATGGCATTGCAGCGCAGAGTTGTGGCAGAGATGCTCACTCACATTAGGTAGGTGCTTGGATTCATTAATTCTAAGAGTTTAGCCCTAGTTTATTGATTGTAGCTCAAGGCAGTTAATTACATTGTACCTGATCCCCTGCATTTTCTATTTAGTATGATCTTACACTTCCATCCCTACCTAAAACTGAGGTGTAGCATGTCTGTATCCTGCAGATGAGATGTGGTGGATGAAGATATCACTATGGATCTCTTACCTATGTCACACAGGTGATGAAGCCACCTGTCTGCCCAGCCTCAGAATAAAGGTGCTCTAAAATGCTCTAGAAATGGACACTCCTCCAGAGAGGTAGATCGCACGTTTGAAAGAGCCACCTGGATACCACCTGAAGAACTGCTGCAGTACAGAAGAAAAACACCCACAAATTGCACACCGCTGGTTATGACCTATCACCCATCCCTTGAACCTATACGGAAAATCCTCAAAAAATTGCAACCCATATTAGAAAGAGACCCTATTCTTAAAAAGATCTTCCCAGAGCCACCCATCCTAGCCTTCAAATGAGCACCGAACCTTGCCAACCTCATCACCAGAAGCAAACTTCCTCAAGCCCAGAACACACCAGAAGGATCCAAACCGTGCCAGGACAAGAAATACAAAACCTGCCAGCACGTCTCTACCACCCCCACTATTACTACACCCCACAACAGAGCCATCAGCATCCCTGCATCTTACAGCTGCACCTCCAGAAATGTGATATACCTCATCCAATGCACCAAATGCCCTGATGGAAGATATGTAGGAGAGACCAGACAACAACTGTGCACCAGAATGAACGCACACCGGAAATCCATCAAAGACAGAAACACTCAATTACCGGTGGGGGCACATTTCTCACAGGAGGGCCACTCTCTCTCCAGTCTCTCAGTCCTGATCCTCAAGGGAAACTTACACAACACTTCCCAGAGACGAGCCTATGAGCTCCATTTCATCAACCTGCTGGATACGAGAGATCAGGGACTAAACATAGACATTGGATTGTTGATACATTACAATCTGCCTGGCAACTGACTCCCCCGCCCAGCCCAGCCCAGCCCAGCCCCTGGCTGCTTTACTTTTCATTCCATCCAGGAAGAGCGCACACCAACTGCTGCAGCTTGAGGAAGGGTTTTTGAACCTGAAAGCTTGCTTAATAACTATTCTCCAACCATTTGGGTTGGTCTAATAAAAGATATCAAATTCACCCAAGGAACCTTGTCTGCCTATGTCCTTAGACCAACACGGCTACAACCTAAGCCCCTAGAAATGCAAAGTATTTATCATCATTCATTTATCATGCAGTGTCAGACTGCTGACGTGATCATGGACCGTAATTTTCTGGCAGCACATCAGCGTGCATGTTTATCGGTGCTTGGAGATTATGGATGAAATCCTGGCTCTAGTAAAATAAACGGCAAAACCCCACTTGATTTCAGCAGGCTCAGAACCGTGTTGGAGACCCGAGACCCCTGCATCGCTTCGTGCTGTGTGCGTGACCACATCCCTCCTACAGACCGTCTGAGCCCAGAAACAGTTTAGCTTGAAGCACAGGCCCCTGCAAAGTCACACGGGCCAGGAGCGCCGAGTAAGGATCGCGCGGCTACCTGCGATCAATGCAGACCAGCCACACACGCAAAGTCATGATCACAAGACAAAAATGGCTACCCAGCTGGAAAGAGAGCCGAGCAGATATATAAAGTTAGTGCTTGAAAATGTGTAACAACTCCACAGCTGGTTTGGACCCAGGTTTCATTGGACTGTGTAGCAGGTGGGACACGGTGGGTTGCGAGGGTCGGGGGGGGGTGGGGAGAACACCGAAGAATGGCCCCAGGGGACACACGTGGCTCAACGCCGCCCTGCTCCGCTCTCGATGCTCATCCGGGACGCGCATGTCTGAACCCAACTGGGCTCAAACCCCACCGCGCGCCGGAGGCCGGGGCGGGAAGCTCTTGAGCGCCCCGGTGCATCTTGGGACGTGTAAGCTATCTCCCACCGCGCGGGGGGAGGGGGAGGAGGAGGAGGAGGTGCGGCGAGCGGTGCATGCTGGGACTCGTAGTTCCCCCTCCCGCCCCGCGACGGCGCAGCACTACAGCTCCCGGCGGCCCCCGCGGCGCGGGGCAAGATGGCGGCGCGGCCGAGCGGCAGCGAGAACCGGCTGGTGTCGCTGCCCCTGTCCCGCATCCGCGTCATCATGAAGAGCTCCCCGCGTGCGTGGTCGGGGGCACAACGGGGGGTGCATGGGGGAGGGGGACATAAGGGGGGTATGGGGGGAGGCAAGCGTCCGCTGCGGTGTGACGCGGGGCCGGCGCGGGAAGGCGGCTCTTGACGTCTCTCTTCCGGTGGTTTGCAGGAGCTGTTTGTCCAGTACTTGGCCTCGTATTCCTACAAGCACGGGCGAGGCAAGGAGAAGAGAGCCCTGACCTACAGCGACCTGTCGCACACGGCCGAGGAGTGCGAAACCTTTCAGTTCCTCGCAGGTGCGTGTCACCGCGGGCGGGGGGGCAGAGCCGAGGTCTCGCGCACGGGCGAGGTGGTGCTCTGCTGCCCCGTGGCGTCGGCGGACGTTGCGCGACGGGGGCCGTCTGCGCCGCAGTACGAAGTCGCGGGACGCGCTGGGCCGGTGTCTGGGGACAGGCAGCGCCGTCGAGCGCCTTGATCCCTTGTCACAACGGTCGCGGCGCGTCGCGTCGCGTCACGGCTGTCCGAATGAGGAGGCTGAGCGACGGGAGGTGAAGCAGCCCCAGTTATGTCAGTGTAAGATCTGGGTGTAAAGCCCGGAAGCGCTGATGCTCGCATCGTCTGCCTTACCCACCAGGCTGCACACCTGTAAATCCGCTTAGAAAAGAGCAAGGCAGGCAGTGGGGGAGGCTTTTAGGAAATGTATCAGCTCGGAGCTGTGAATGGATGAGTGTTCAATGCACAAACGCGTCTGAGGTGGGAACAGGACCACAAACGTTCACGTGTTGCTCTCGGACTTGGGCACTTTGGGGTTAGCCCTGCTTGTTCAAAAGAACGTGCTAGGATGGTGGTCTCATTCTAGGCACCATTTTAGCAGTGTTTCCTTAGCAAGCAGTCCGCTTTCCCATCTCTCGAGGTCATCAGCTGTAAGAGGAGCGTCAGACTTACCCCGGGCCGGATCTGAACTGCAGGGTCTCCCCCCGGGCCAGATCTGTGGGGTCAGCAGCCAGTGTGGTAGGGTCACATCCAGGCAGCAACACAAGTCCAGGGCTGGGTGGTGGTGGTGGGCTGCATTCAGGCAGCAGCACAGAGCTGGGGGGCTGCTGCTGATGGCCATGTCCATTGTGGTCCACGGACCCCCAAATTGTGTGGCGGGCCATACGCCCCAACTTCCAGGAGTCCACCGGGCTACCAGCAGGCTACATGAAATAGTTCCACGGGCTGCATGTTTGACACCCCTGATCTATAATGGTGTCCTGGACAGATCCCTAAATGGAGTATAGAGGAATTGCTTGCAAGGGATATACCTAGAGCAGGTAAACCTCATATCCAGTGTTGTTGTACGGTGCAAGTAACTGCTGACCGTGGCAGTGGCAGCGTCCACACCAGCTGCAACCGGCTAAAAACAGCATAACAGGTTTCAGAATTTAAACCTCTATAATTAAGAATCTCTCTCAAAAGAGGACAAATTCTAGCATTCGAGCCTTAATTGGATGAAAACTCTCTAATATTAATATTACATTCCTCTTCCAAGTATGATTATTATAGATTGAAATAACTCGTCTTGTTGTTCCCTAGACTAAAAAGTTGCGTTCTGTGAACTGTCAGCTAGTAATTAGTGACTTTAAATGCCACGGTAATAACTGTCCTAAATATAACTGTTCTAAATGAGCACAAAATCAGCAATTCTGCCTTTCAGATATCTTGCCAAAGAAGATCCTAGCTAGCAAATACCTGAAAATGCTTGAAAAGGAGAAGAGAGATGGAGAGGTGAAGGAGGAGGAAGAAGAGGAAGATGAGAGTGAAGATGAAGACGCCAAATCTTAAGGGTTTATCAGACTGGCTTCATATTCGGTCTTTTTCCTATTGTATAAAAGATGTTATTTTTTTTGTGACTGAGAATCCAACTGCTGGATTTATTTGTATGTGAAGTCATCTGTTTTCTATTTTTGTTTTAAGAAGCTTTATCCAATGACACACACACAGCCTGAAGGACAGAATTATCCCCCAGATACACGCATGCGAGGGGAAGAGTTCCTACAGATCTGGAGACAGAACTAGCTCATTCTTTTTAAAGTAACTTAGACAATCATTACCACATTTCTTGTGGGCAGCCCTCATCATCCAGGCCAAAGGTCTCTCGCGTTCTCTCTAGGTGGTTAAATGGATCCCCTCTTACAGCTGATGCTGTTGGTAATCAACTTGAAGAGGCTGTATATATTCTATCAATAGTACTTGCCTTCTGCCAGCCAAGAAGCAGATAACTTGTTCAGACCTCTATCCCAGTTCTCCTATATGGGTCTAGAACCTACCCATGGATCAAGCCCTTAAAAACCAACATGACTTCTGCAATGCTGTCCAAATCACTTCCTTCCTCTAGAAGGAAACTGGATACAGGGCTAGACTAGTTCCAATTAGTGGTGTAGGTCTGTGGCTGTAGTGGTGATGAAGAAGTACAAGTGTTAGCAGGTGGTGTAAATATGTGTATCTAGAACCTGTGTTTTCCTCAGCAAGGTCCCTACTTTTGCAGCATACTGTTTATGGTATTTAACCAACACGCATATTGTGTGAAGTTTAGAGGTGGTTGTACGGGAAGAAAATAAGTAGTCCTTTTACCATGTCAGTGGTAGAGCTGGAATATTTTTGTTACAATGAAATTGGAAACAGCTCTGTGTAGAAAATTTTGTACACAATTTTTTAAATAAATGTTTTATAAAATGTGGAATTTAATGTAGAGGGTCCTGACAGCTTTCTTATCTGTAGGCTTTCCAGTTTATCTTTGGTGCACAATTAACATAATTGGCCCAAACTTGCTGATGGGGAAACTTAATGAACGTGGATCCTGTTGGAGAAAAAAAAAAAGACTGGCCATGAGTACAAAGTAATGATTGAGTGGGAGTGGGGAGAAGGGACACTAGGAATTCACACTGATCTTCCAAACAGTTTACATTCTTTGTTGTGGGTCAGCTTCAGTATGTTTCAGGGGAAACGTGCCTGGATAAACCCTGGCCATGCCCCTGTAAAGAAATGTTTCAGTCTCATCTGCCCTCTTTCTGGCTAAGACGCTTACCAGAGAAGTAGTAAATTAAGTTACCATATTTCACAGTGTATAGGTCAATGTGGTGTATAAGTCCCTGTTTTTCTGATCTAAAAAGTTAAGACGTATACACCGGAACTATGAAATTCCTAACTTTTTGGATCCGAAATACGGGGTTAACGTATACTGCCCCTTGCATGACCTCTCTGCGGCCAGGCACCTGGGGGGTGAACATGTGCTGCAGCTCCGCTTGCAGGGGATAACAAGGCTAGGCTTGGCGCTTGGCTGGCACAACTTCATCCTCTGCCAGTGGCGCTGCCTGGGCCTGGTACCACTTGCAGGGGATGGGGCTGCACCAACTGAGCGCCAAGCCTGGCCCCGTCTGCTGCGAGCAGCGCTGCCAAGCACTACGCCCAGCACCATTTGCAGAAGACAGGACTGGGAGTGCTGCTCAGCTGGTGCAGCCCCATCCCCTGCAAGTGGTACTGCCTAGGCCACAGCAGCCAAGCACGGAGCCCATCCCCATCCCCTGTGAGTGTTGCTGGGCTCAACGCTCGGCAGTGCCACTCAGCAGACAGGGCCAGGCTTGGCATAACTGGTGCAACCCCATCCCCTGTGAGTGGCACTGAGATTGGCTGGTGCAGCCCAGGCAGTGCTGCTTGCAGGGGAGGGGGCTACACCAACCAAGCACCAAGTGCAGCACTGCTCACAGGGGACAGGCTCAGTGCTTGACTAGTGCAGCCCTATCCTCTGCGAGTGGCACTGCCTGGGCTGTGCCAGCCGAACACCAAGTCCAGCACTGCTCGCAAGTGATGGTGATGCAGTGTATAAGTCAAGGTTGAATTTTAAGAGTTAAAAATTGGGCTTCAAACCTTGACTTGTACACCATGAAGTACGCTGGAGCTGTTGCTGCCAGTTCATTGTTCATGCCAGGTTGGCAGAGCTGACTCCAGCAGGGAGCATACAGTGGCAACAGGTGTGGGTCTGGCATGGGGTATGTGGCAGCGGGGCTGGGACTGCAGTGGTGGTGATGGTCAAAGCAGCCAGAGGGTGACTGGGGCAGTCATCCTTTGCTTGCTGTTCTGTTACCCACCCCTCTGTCCACTGGTGCCCTGGCTTCTGCAGCAAGCCACAGCCCACAACTTATGGTGACCAGTTGGTAACCCAAAGGGTTGGATACAGCAGTGCAAGAGGCCAGATTCGGCCATGGGGTGGGGAGGGGGCGTATGTTTTGACATCCTTGTTTAGCCAATAGTGCAGGACTCAACTTCTGTCCTCTGTCATCCAGTGAAAACTTTGTTTTCAATTAGAGGTGCAGAGTTATGAATGGTACCTGGGGAAGAGTCAGATTCCTAAGCAAGGGATTTCCAAAAACCATGGGACTGAACAGGATGCCTGCCTAAACTGCCCAGAAGTGGTTTTGTATAGCAGTTTAGAAGTAAGGAAATATAGTGGTGGGATTCATCCCACGACTGGGCAGTTATCATTAGGGGCTAAACGCTCTACAGGCGGGATAGAGAAGGAAGGAAGGGAGGGAGTGTGGCGCTCAATGTCAAAGAGCAATACACATCCTCTGCCAGCAAAATGGGATCAGAGGAAGGGCAGGCTGAAGTGCTCTGGGTCAAGATACAAGGGGGTTGTGGGGAGAGGGATTTAACGATGGGGGTCTACTACAGACCCCACAACCAAGGGGAGGAGCTGGACTGGGAATTTTCGGGCCAGCTTGCAGAGGCACTTAAGGCAAGGGATGTAGTTGTCGTGGGTGATCTAAATTACCCAGACATCTGCTGGGAGGAGCAGTCAGCCAGGTCAGACCGTTCCAGGAAGTTCCTGGCCGAGATACAGGACCTCCACTTAACCCAGGAGGTGCACAGTCCCACCAGAGGAAATGCCCTGTTGGACCTGGTCCTGGCCGCAAGCGAAGATCTGGTAAGGGGGCTCCAGGTCCTCGACCACCTGGGTGATAGCGATCATTGCTTGCTGGAATTCATCATCCAGCACAGGGTAACGAGGGCCTGCAGCAAGGCGGTAGCCCTAGACTTCAAGAGGGCCAACTTCAACAAGTTGAGATTGGTGGGAGAGGCGCTGAGGTTTTCGAGGGCAGGGGAACTCAGTGCCCAAGATGAGTGGTCGTTCCTTAAGGAGATGAT